TTTCAGGAGCTGGGCTTGGCCCCTTAGTTCCAGTGAAAGGAACTCTGAATGCTTCAGCATCCCAAGACATTTTGGACAATTCCATGCTCCCAACTTTGTGGGAACAGTTTGGAGCTGGCCCCTTCCTCTTCCAACATGACTGTGCACCAGTGCACAAAGCAAGGTCCATAAAGACATGGATGACAGAGTCTGGTGTGGATGAACTTGACTGGCCTGCACAGAGTCCTGACCTCAACCCGATAGAACACCTTTGGGATGAATTAGAGCGGAGACTGAGAGCCAGGCCTTCTCGTCCAACATCAGTGTGCAACCTCACAAATGCGCTTCTGGAAGAATGGTCAAAAATTCCCATAAACACACTCCTAAACCTTGTGGACAGCCTTCCCAGAAGAGTTGAAGCTGTTCTAGCTGCAAAGGGTGGACCGACGTCATATTGAACCCTATGGATTAGGAACGGGATGTCACTTAAGCTCATATGTGAGTCAAGGCAGGTGAGCAAATACTTTTGGCAATATAGTGTATTTTTAGAACATCAATACCCCATACCACCCCAATTGACAATTTACTATAACTGCAATTAAACCAGGACTGACAAAATAAAAGGGTAATTAAGCACTGATGGATGTGATGGGTTCAAATGCATTTACATTGATTCAACTTAGATTGGAGATAAACAGCTGCATTCTTTAGAAAATATTCTCTCTAGTAATTTTCAGTTTCAGTAGAATTAAAAAGACACACATTGAGTATAATGCTATCTAAAATAGGTGTGTAATGGACTTGAGCAGCACAAGGTTGATTTACTGATGCTACAGCCACTGTGATTAAATGTGGTTTTGCACTCAGCATGCATTTATCTTTGTCATAATACTGTAAAAGTCCTACCATCATGCTGATTGGGAGCACTCATATTATTTCCTTTTGTCGCCCTCTTAATTACCTCTTTCTAACTATTCTCACAAAGATAACCTGAGTGTGATTAAATTTAACAGACCTTTTTGATAAGGATGTAATTTGGCCCAGGATGAGCTCTTAAAAGGCTGGTCATGCACAATACAGGGTGATCATTGTTAACCCCTATAAGTGAAGATGAAGAGGCATTATACCCACCACTTGTGATTATGTGCTTATAGGATCATTTTGATCATTAACAGAGGGATATTGCACATGATTTATCCGAAATAGTTCAAATTTGGCCTGAGGGGGGCAGCAGAAGATAGGTCAAACCAAGGAAGTCATTCCTGTATGTAAAGGTCCTTTTGCACATTCAGACTCAATGCAGCAGATTAATACTAAGATTGAACTTTTCTTAATGCTGGGATTAGTTCTTCTAACAAGCTAGAGAGAAAGACAATTGCAACAAATCTTAAACTGTGATGCATATATAGTCTTAAAATTGTAAGTACGGTACCTGTGTCAATATGAAGATTTATCTGTTTGTTATTTCTGAAGTTTTATCTTCAAACTTTAACTGACAAATTCTGTGGTGCAAATCTAATTCTCCACATGCATGTTTGGTGATATCTGGTGTCTTCCAGCTTTGGAGTGAAAGAGGTCTTAAACAAAACCGAAATGCTGTTTAAAGAAACTTCCTGCAGATTATTCCTTATCAGGAAATGTTCAGATATACTTTAGATACCACACAGTTCTTGTTACATAAAGTAGTAGTTTTGTAAGCAACAGGAAAAAAGGGTGTACTTTTTTCTTGTGTATGCTCCATAATCCTGTGGGAGCAGAGTAAGCATTTAAGACTAAGATGTAGACGGTGTGTTGAAATGTGTGAGTGATTTTAGGAGAGTCCCACAGGAATCTGTTGCAAGCCCTCACCTGCAGCAGACTAACCAGTTGATCTATACCTCGGGAAAATGTAGCTAGATTTAAAGCAAGATGGAATATTAAGGGCTTTACTTGCTTGTAAATAAGTGGCTGAGCTCATTTAAATTATACAAAAAATGACAAATTAAACCATGAGCTAAAAGTTAATGATTTATTTGAGAAGAAAATATATTGTTATCAGTGTCTCTCATTATGGCATGGGGGGTTGATGATAAGTGTCGAAAACAATTGTGTTTTGTGATGCACCTAATTAAAAAACCTTGATGCTGGTGATTACTAGTGTTTGTGGATTTCTATGTGGGCATAGCGCCTTTCGTTTGAGTATATTTTTCCTATAGCTGATGGTGAGGACACGCCTGTGTTTGAACAAGCGCTGTGGAGGTGTAGTCACACAAGAGACACTCTCTCAAGGATCTGAGGAAAAGAACTTGACGCTGCTGTCTGGCACAAGGCCGGTGTGAAACTCTAAAAGTTAAATAGGTAAATATGATAATCACACTCCCTAATACGAAAATATCACTTGATAATGCTTTATTTTATTTATTATTTTTTGCAATGAAAAATGTTTTCGTTCACTATGGAAGTGTTCTCTTTTGTTATTGTGATGTTTAACCTTTGCTTTTCTCACTTTTTTATGTTGGTGTTTTGTCATCTGGCTATTAACCTAAATGCTTTATAACGTCTCTGTGTAAATTAATGGTAATCCTACACATTTGTTTCTTGCTACATGCAGTAAATGAAAACTATTTTTATGTTGAAAAATTTATATCACTGAGCTTTCCTATTTGTTTTGCAGTCAAGATGCCTGAAACAGCAGAGGCTGTGGCTGCCACTCTGACCACCAACAGAAACTGCACCATAGAGATAACCAATGTTAGTGGTAGCTTCTGTCTCATTAACCCCAAGTAAGTCTGCAGTTGCATCAACAAACTTAAAACAAGGATGAATACATTAAAAATATTTTTGAGGTCAAACCCAAATGAGAGAAATTAAGAACATTTCTATAGATCTTGTAGCACTACAGTATGATGTTATATGTCTCTTTTATGGCAATGTTATAATATTTCAAAACTCTATTTCAGTGATTATGAAGCTACCACACTTTATTATCTTCTTTGCTTTAAAATACATGTTTATACTTGCAGCAAGAACAGCCAGACAGAAAAAGTTGACTCACCGCACATCTGCACACACCCCTTCAACTTAACGCATGCCACCTAAAATGGTGGTATATAGCATTATGGCTATTTGATAGTCAAGTGTATAATAGTAATTAGAAAGGAAAATAAACTATTGTTTTAAAGAATATTTCACAGAAGCATCTGTAAAGCGTCACAACTTGGCAGAATCCATTTTAACTGCAGTTACAGCAGTGGGTTTTTTGGTGTGTTTCTACCAGCTTTTCAAATCCAAAAATTGAATTTTTACTTTTGTTTTTTTTACGTGTTCACACCCGGTCATATTTAACTGAGAGAATCATAGTTAAACCCCCTAGATTATCTGTTTTATTTATGATCATCGAGGGTTAAAATCTGTAAAGGTGTAAACGAGTGAAAAGCAACAGCACAGGAATGCACCCTAACTCCTTCGCCATGTGAGTCATGTTTCTGCATTTGTCTAAGTTTGTCAGGACAGGCCATATTTTGGATGGGTGATTTTCACATGTGACATTACATTGCTGAGAACATCCATCTATCTATCATGCGCTGACACACTCTGCCTCATTGCACATTGTGTGCAGGTGGAGGCACTTTTGCTTAGAAGTCCATAGTTTTACACTTCCAGTCATACTTCATCCATCAGTGTACACTGTGTCGCTCTAGACTGCACAACTATTGAAAAGAAGCCTTAACACGCTTAAGGAAACTTTGCAACTTATTTTGTTTCCCTTTTTTCACATTTGAGTAACACTAATTAGTTATTTGCTCTCTTTTATAGGGTTTACATGTCAAGTGGCTTTTCTTACCATCCACCCCAACCCACAGTTCGAGCCCAAAAGACGGAAGTGTGCTCCTTCACAAAGGATGACAACACCGCCACTGGTGCAGTCGGCCTCCTGACTTATGACTTGTTCCACATGCAGAGTCGGGTTTGCTCTGAGCGCATGGCCATCATGTTCTCTGTGCCTTTCGACTTCAACATTTACAAGAACCGGCTGGCTGTGGGTGTGGTCGAGCATTCCCGGGCCTGCGACAAACATCTGTTCGACCAGATGTATGATGGGAAAGATCTCAGCAACTTCACCCGCTCAGACGCAAACGGGTGTGGTCTGGAATATAAAGCACAATATGTTGATTTAAAGCCACAATGTCTACAGTCGGCAAAGCCATTGTTAAAGTGGAGCTGTATGATAAAATGGGGCGTTAGTGTGCAGACCAGTTGGGTTTTATCCTTCCATTTTTGTTGGTTTTTTTTGTGTCCTCAGAGTAAAAAGAACTTGGGTGATGTGATCACTGTTGTCATCTTGATATAAAAAAAAGCATTCAAGAGAGGAAGACTGATTTTGCTGTCATCAATATTTTGTGTCTGCTGAGAGATATCAATACCTGACAGCCAGCTCATTGATTTCCCATTAGCTAATGTCTTGGACTCATGTAAGCTGTACTCTCTCTATTCTTTAAATATGGTAATAAAACATTCAGACCCAATGCTCATGTTGCTTTTTGTGGAGTATGTTCTCCCTTTGTATGCCGGCAATATTACTGATGAACAGTAATTATCATTTAATCTTTTATCTGGATCTATTTAGTTTTAATGAGTGGCAACAGATGGAATGTCGCCGTAGATGTTTTTTTAATTGGTGCAATAACAGCTCTGTTTTTCAGTGGCTGGGAAACTCTTCATCTTGCTCAGTTGTGCAGAATTTGGAAAACAGCAGCGGTGGTGGTAGAAAGAATAAGGTTAAAGGAGGCTCCAGAGATATATGCCTAGACTTGTATTATGGGCTTTTTTTTTCTGGAGAAAAATAACAAAGGAATGAGGTTCCTAAACAGCTTCTGTCAGGTGAATGTACTAAAAAAAACAAAACCAAGGAAAGTACCGTTATCAAAAAAAACAAGGGTGAATTGTTAGAAACAGATCCTACTAAGGGTGTGGGTATTAAAAACAAGGTTAACCAACACTTATATTTATTCCTTTTCCGTGGGCTTGAGCTAACTAGAACATGTATGTGGAAACAGGGTGTGTCGGGTCTGAATAATCTTGTGTTTCAAAAGGGAGGGGAACATCCTGGAAAGGGGGGGGGCACCTCCCAGTCAGGTGTGTCTTTTCCCTCTTCTCCCATTTTACTCTCGTAATACTTCGACATTGTTAGTAGGTAAGTCTCTGAATTCATTTGAATTTAAACTATATTTTTAATTGAAATTTTGACTCAACAATTGTTTGATAGGTATTTTCTTTTTTTCGTCAATCATTATTACTGTTGTAGCTTGTTGTTGCTGCAACCATTTCATGATTGTTCATAACTGTATCTGTGAAGTGCCTTTTTAATGCTCTGTTGTCAGAGATGAAATTAAGTATAGCAGAAGAGCCAAGGTCTTGTATATTTATATAGTTTACAAGGGTAGCTAACAAGATTCATCAAACATAGAGATGAGTTTCTCACTACGGGCTGCATTGTTTTTTAGAAAACAGATATGGACTTGTAAAAATATGATTCTGAGTTTCTAAAGGTCCCGTTTGGGAACCGTTTGATTTATGCCAATAAATTATTTACTTGCCCTATTAAACAAACTAAATGTATCAGAATTAGCAAACTGTTGTTGTTGCAAACTGCGGCCAAGCGTATTTTAAAATAACTAAAACTTAACTGACAAAGTTTTGGAAACTTGATAATAAGAAACTTGAAAAAGTTGTTTACTATAATGTTTACCATTTAAAAAGTTGTTGATAACAATCAGTTAAACTGGAAATCACACATGGATTAACAAAAAAACACTAAATTATATTTCAATCTTCTAAACCTCATTGTCAGTTCTAAAGTTAATTTGAGGTGGGAGTTAGAAGGTGTAATACAAGCATCAAGAAAGAGAAAAGCTGGATTTATTTCAGCAAACAAGCTTTACCATAATTAGGCAAATCTTTAAATTAGTTAAAATTAAGATTTAAGACTATCATCGATCATCCACTATTGAAGATTATCATAGACTACAGTGTAATTCCTCCCTATGTTTAAAGCAAAGACAAATATGCTAGCATCTGTTATCTCAACATAATTAAAAAGAGGCTGCAAATGTAAAATGCAATTATCTGTGGTATTCAGTTACAAGTATTATATCAATCATTTAATCATTCTGTGAATTGTAGTTTGTTGTATTTCACTTTGAATGCTGCAAATTTGAAAACAATGTGTAAGCTAAAATGAATGAACGCCAGTAGCCATGCCTTTCATGTTGTCTGATTAAGGTATATGACATCTGAATAATTTTTGCTTTACAAGCAGATCAAACATTGTTACAGCATGACAGAGTCGGCTGAAGCTGTGGCAGGTGATGTGACCAGCAAGAGAAGCGTGACGATTGAAATCTCAAACAACACCAATAACTACTGCTTTATCAGTCCCAAGTAAGAAATGTGTTGATCTTTCATATTTCTTCAGTCTGCACACGAGATGTATACTGCATAACATGATGCATAGTCTTGCTAGTAGACATTATATCAGACTTTACCAGCTTGGGTCAGTTGAGAATGCAAAAATGATTTCTTTTGTTCAGAAATTCGGGGCTCACTTCTTTTAGTGTGTCCCAGGGCACCAGTGGCTACAATGTAGCTTGCCACCATCAGTGTGTGATGACTGAATGTAGAATAAATGGGTTCCTCAGATTTGATAAAGTGTTATACAAGTTCCAGCTATGTCTACAAAATAATAAGTTATTTTATAAAAACACAATTTTACAAGCTTAAACTTACATTTTTACATGCTTTGCTCTTATTCTGGGAGTATTAGGCCAATTTTGCATAAACACACATTTATCTCTTAGACTTCCCATGCTGCTTATGTTTACATATTTTATTATATGAACCTGACTTACTAAAGTCAACAATCCTCTTCTTAATAACTTGAATGACTGCTTATTTTCTCATGATGTCCAGCAATAAATATTGAGGCCTTGAAATGATTTGCCTTTATGTAAGTCAGATCTTGATAAAAGTGTGACTTTTGAAATTAAAGCTTTCTAGAAAGCTATGGTAATTCTAACTGATCCTGATTCAAAGCTTTATTTTGATTCTAATGTAACCAGTGAGAAAAAAAAAATTAAAGGATTGTAAGATGTTTTTATACATTGTATGTAAATTGCAGGCTAACAGTTGGTTTGTCTTACTTTCACTCTGTTTAGAGCCTACCTTGACAATGGAGAGGTGTTCAACCCACCTCAACCGACGGTGCGCCCCCTAAAGACGGAGGTGTGCACCTTTACCAAATCTCGTGGAAAAGCAACGGGCAGCGTAGGTGTCCTGACTTACGATCTCTTCGAGAGGTCCCAGAATGACTACATAGAGACCCTGGCCATCATGTTTTCCGTTCCCTGGGACTACAACCTGTACAAGAACTGGTTTGCGGTGGGCATCTATAAAAAGGGTCGTAACTGTGATGAAGCTTTGTTCAAAGAAATGTACTATGAGAAGAAACAGCTTGAGCATGGTTTTGTCAGAGGTGAAGCCAATGGCTCAGGAATCAATTATATCGGTAATTTTCTTGACATCAAAGCTACCATGTGTCCCATGGGTAACTCCATCATGAAAGTGGAGATATGGGACAAGCTTTTCACATCCATGGGGCAGCAATCTTATTAAAACACCTCACAGTTACAGAAACCTTTAAGAGAATGTGTTGTTTTTTTGCAGACTTCTTAAAATAAAGACAGCATTAGCTGTACTGGAACCGATCTGTTGTTGCTGAATTTGTTCTGTATGTCCTGGTATTACATTTCTGCTTAAGATCAGACTTTGTCTGTTTTTAAATCCTTCCAGAATGAATGTCCCTTTATTGGAAAAGTTTTTATGTATTTCTATACCACCCAGTTTAAAACCAACCTATCTAGAAAAGGAAATCATAGAATGACTCCCTAAAGGATGAGGGCAATAGCTTAATGAAACACAGATAGTACCTGTCTGAATTCACCTTGACATAATTCTTTCTGGAATAAAATAAACCTTTTTGCCGAAGCTAATTGTGTTTCTCTTCTGTGTGCTGATTGGGGTTTAAAAGGGTTTAAAAAGGGTATTGAAATACTTAATGAAAAAAAAAAATTTCAATTCACTTTCCATCCAATGTGTGTTTCGTTTTTTTTACAATGTCGTGATTACTTTGAGGTGACCCTGAGATTTGGACAGGCACTGAAACATTTTTTTTTTCTTTCAACAAAATGTTTGGATTAAAACTGTTGACTATGGTGGTCACGGTATAATCTTGAATTAATTTATAAAAAATCTGTTGTGTAATTATTAGCAGTTAACATGGAAAAACACCTTTATTCTAAAGTCCACCATTAACGTGTAGATTCACAAAGATATGAAGCAGGAGGCTGAACTGCAGATATCATGTTTCAGCAAATCTTAATGCTGTCATTCTGGTTTTAGTTTCCTATCATCAACATAAGGCTTTTTGAGGCATTGACAGCTGCCTGCTCATAGGTACACAGATCAAAGGTTTTGGTCTGTGCTGTTTCATTTGCATAAAAGCAAATATGACATAGAAGCAGATATTGAGCTTGTTTAGACTCAACCCTCAAGGCATTTTCTGATTAACTTAGTAAAGATATTGACACATATTTTAGCTTTTAAACTTTTCTTTGTGTATCCAACAACTGCTCCTGCATCTATGCTCAAATTGTCTATTAAGTAGTTCAGTTTTCTTTACACCTGCACATGCACATATAGATATAATGAATGCATTTGAATGTGCATTATGCGATTTAAATGTTGAAATGAATAGTTGTGAAAGCAGAGCAGGATTAGATGATCCAAATTCAGAATTGAAACATTTAAGAAAGTACTTTATTCTATATAGATAACCAAAAAAATATATTTGTCTACCAAAACAGGTGCAGTTTACTTTCAAAAGAAAAGGAGGTTTGAAAAGGTATTAGGAAAGTGCAGGTGTAAAATGATAAATGATGCAAATAGCATATCTTCTGTATTGAATTAAACAGAAAGAAGACACCTGCGTGAAAAAAATCCTGAACAAGGAAAGAAAAAAAAAGAAGAAAAAAAAAAAAAAAAAAAAAAAAAAAAAAAAAAAAAAAATATATATATATATATATATATATATATATATATATATATATATATATATATATATATATATATATATATATATATATATATATATATATCAACTGTTACTAGCATGTACTACACAAAAGTAATCTCAACTGAGTGTGTAAGAAATATGAAAAGTGACAAGTTTCCATGACCTGATGGTTCAGGGTAGACTGCAGAGCTTAAATCTTGCATGCAGAAATACATTAAGCAGTTTTTTTAGGTCTTAAAAGAGAAAAAATAAAACCTTTAAAGCTAGAGTCTGGTTGTGCATTGTACAAAATGCTCTCAAACGCTGCCATCTAGAGGCCTGTTATGAAACAAAATATTTTTAAAGCCACATTACAGAAAATCATTACAGAAAAAGTTAATGCGAATACATGAGCAAGAATAAATAATAATGAAATACATACATTTCAGGAGTATAACAAAGTAAAGTCAGATATTTTTCTGTTAAAAGTTTGAGTTTTGTTTTTTTTGTTTTTTTCTTTTTGGTTTCACCGAGTACTTTGTAACTCTGTCTTCTTCAGCTGCCACCAACTCCAAACATGTAGTGACACCCAGTAGGATCTGCTTCTCTGTGATAGTTGACCTGACCTGATGGGTGACAGCCTGGAACAGAGAGTTGGCAGCATTCCCATCAGTTTCAGACTTCAGGTTTCATCAGTTGCTTTGCTACAGAACCCAAAAAAGTTTCAGGCTAAACTGGGGTTTCACCAAACTGTACTGCTTTTTTTCTAAACACATGCAGGATCTATTTCACGATATCTTCAGCTAAAGTGCAAGAGCCAGAAGTTGTGTTTTTCCTGGCTGGATATTGACATCGACTCACCAGGTTAGCTTGTTATTTTGAAATTTCTCAGCATGCAGAGTAACACAGATGAGTATCATCTAACATCAGAAATAACTTTAAAAAATGTTCATTGTTTTCTGAGCTTGAAATCCTTTAAATATTTGGATAACAGATTTGGATCCCCTGCAGCTCTAATTTTGGGGCGTATTGATCTACATGTTTATTGGATAAGATGTTTTGTGCAGCTGTTTTCTATTCCTAAAGTAAAAGCATGACATTTTGGTATATTTTGTCTTTCTCAGATAATTCTCACTAGACTTCTTTTTCTTTATCATATTATCCGGCCTTTTTTTTTTTTTTTTGTCTTTTTTTTTTTCAAATTATGTCTTGTGCTGCAGATACAATTGCTCTTCTTGATAACTTAGCAGTCATAGCTTATGAGAGGACATATTAGTGTTTTGTTTATCACTTTAACACTTTCTCCTCAGTTCTGGGTTGTTAATGAAACATGTTTTGCACTTTTGAGAGTTGCACTCTGTTGCTTTCCATAATACTGCCTCCCCACTAACACATATTCAGCTGTGAAATAAACCAGTCCAACCTCCCTCCTACAGAAACAGAGACATTTCTCTGTCCTTTTAAGTCCTTATTCTTTTCTAAATCAAGGAAATAAAACCTAATGATGGCGATCTGAATTGTCGTTTGTTTACTGAAGGGAATTACAAGAAATTTGTACATCAAATAGGTGTATCTGCTCCAAAGATACTCATGTTAAAACTTTGATTAATGTTGCTCCACAAATTCACCATCAAAGTCATATAATAATAATAATAATAATAATATTAATATTAATAATAATACATTTAAAGGCCCCTTTCTGGACACTCAAGGTCACAGTACAGAAGTTAAAAACACAATAGGAGAAACAAAGTCAAAACACAGAATAAACTCACACAAAAGAAATACAATTGCAACTTTATTGGTACAAGTACTTTAGTCTTTGGTGCTCAGACTTCGGCAGGAAACATTAGCGCTGAATTTATTTTGCTTTGATATGCATAAACAGGAGTAATGGTAGGGATGCTTCCCCCCAGGCCTGAAACTGCTGCTGGAGTGAAGATAGATGAGGTTGGTCAGTACATGACTGCTGGATGTGCTTGAGCTGAATGGAGACATCCAGTGGACTGCATGAGCTGGTACTACTGTAGTGCTTCACTCTGGGACCTGGAAGATGAGAGTCCAGCTTGGATAACACAGGTTGAGAGAACCTGTCCATGATGAGCAAGCATGGAGCGACAGTTGAGAGGAAAAAACCTCCTTTGGGAGGAAACCTCTGGAAGAACCAGGCTCAACATGGCAGTCTTCTGCCGGACCGGTTGAGATGAAACAGGAAGCGAAGCAAGAGTCCGGGAAGAATGATACTCTGATGAAGCTGGAGAAGGGGCTGGAGTTGGGTTGAATCGGGGTCATCTGAGTCAAAGTCAGATATGGTGCAACCACTGCCAAGGCTTTGGGTAGCAGACTGAGATGTGGATTTGGCGACCTTTTAAGATGAGCAAAGGATGCTGATTGGGCTTTCAAGGAGGTGTGGTTCAGAACTGATTGGCTTGTGACGGAGGCAGGTAAGGGTAAGTAATCATTTATTCAGTTGAACTTCCGCATAGGCTCCATTTTAAAATACAAAAAATACAAAGGCTGGGACAGGGAGATTAATGTCAAAGAGAATGGGCAATTTTAAACAGATGAGTTTTGATTTGAGATGGAGAAGTGAGTCAGTGTTTCTAAGTAAAAATGGTAGAGAGTTCTAGAAGCGGGGGCCACAGCAGTATATCTCGGCCCTCATCTCTGATAAAGAAAATAACTGATGTGCTATATTGGTCAAGTTAAAGTCCAGACCTCAGCCTAACAGTGGGAATTTGAGCTGTGCAGATGAATGAACTATTTAGAAATTCAAATTTTGAATAAAGGCTCATTGCTTTCATGTCTGTGACAGTTTTGGTGTGTTCTTTTTTTTTCCTATCAGTGCAGTTGACCTTTAGGTTGGCCTTCTCCCTTCTTTTTTTCATCATCTTTGGAGAACTAAGGAATCTTTTTGAACCACTTCACTCAAATTTCCAGCTGGCAGTGAAAAAAGGCTGTCCCTGTTCTGCATTTCTTTCGGTTTATTCTGACTGATGGGCGGCAGTTTTGATGTCAAACCTACTTGAACGTACAATCATCCGCTGCCAAAGTGATGTCAGCCAGCTGAAGAGTCAGCTCCAACACAGCAAAAGCCAGCTGCCTGGCTCACATACCCAACAGAAAAACTAATTACCTATGTCAAGTTCACTAAATCATTTCAGAAGGTGCAGTTTTTAAAATGTACTCTACCTGACATGTGAAGAAAGTGTAGCTAATCCAACAGTTCCTTGAAAAAAATGATTTGAAAAAGTATTGTATAACCTTTTCAACAACCAGCCCATTAGATTATAGAGGCAATAATTTGATATGGGCCCCTTTTAAATTCCCATTACCCTATGATGAAAGATGTATTTAAGCAGTGTCCAGACTGCAGGCTTCCCAAAAGTCGGTCCTCGAGGGCCGCTGTCCTGCAGGTTTTAGAGGTTTCGCTGCTTTAGCACAGCTAATTCTGATGATTGCAGTTCAGCAAAAGCCTGTTAATCAACTATCAATGTAAATCAGCTGTGCTGAGCAGGGAAACCTCTAAATTGACTTTGGGGATGCCTCATCCAGAGGAATAGCTGATTTTTAAGTTTTTTTGTTTTTTTTTAAACAATAGCAAATAACAATTGCAAAAAAAAGCAATACTTAAAATGTTAAAATTTTTGTGCAAAAGAATAAAGAATAAAAAAACTCATTAAAGAAGATTTTTTTCTTGTCTTTGTATTAAATGGATAGTGTCAGAGATTTATCTCCATTTAGTGGTGAATTAGATAATTTACAAATAACAGCCTAGTGCCTCCCTGTCAGTCGCGTGACACCTACAACAGAAGCCACAATCTACTCTTTATAAATGGAAGGGACACATCAAACTCCGTCATCCTCATCAAATCAGCTAAAATAAATTAAGAAACACATGAAGCATCTCTGTGAAAAAATAAGCCTGACTTTGACTCCTGTGAGCAATATTAGCAGCTGATAACTGTTGCCATGGAGCTCATCCAGTGTAGAATAACAAAAAAGGAGTCTCTACCAGGGCAAGACAGAGCCTAACCACCCTTTACATATCAACAACAACAACAAAAAGATTGAAAACATGGAACATTTTAGTTGCTGAACTACACTGCCCTACAGTAGTTCTAACATGACAGAAGATAAACTTCTGCAGATGCAGAAAGCCTCCAACCTCTGGGTCTGTGTTGAAGCCCCGCTCCCTCATAAAATGTTTCCTCTGGTTAAAGCTGCACCGATATAAACTCTCGTTTTCTCCTGGTTACTACATCTTTTTTTTTTTTTCTTTATTTTGCCTCTCACTGGCAAAAAACACTGATGGTCCTCCATTGTAACAGAAACTGGAAGGTACAATAATATACAGTTGTTTTTGTTTGTTTCAAACTCCTCTGCCACTACATGTTTACAGATGCAGGTAAAACACAGCAGGCTGACAAGCCTGCCCCTTATCGGCTACGCTCATCAAACATGGCAACACAAAAAGGCATCTTCCATTGGATGCACCACTCCCTCATATTTATAAACTTCTAATTCTAAGCTGTGAGAACGCTTTTATTTTTGATGTGATGTTCTTTTGACTTTCACAGAACATGTATTTATTAAAGCAATACTTGATTTTTGTTAACCAAAATCCCGATTTGTTTCCTAGTGCCCCTTTAAAACACAAATGATATTTAAATATAAAATACTTAAATTAAATTATTTTTATTTTAAAGTTGTTTTTAGAGTGCAGTCTTAGCTTATTGTTTATGTACACAGGAGCTCATGTCCTACATAAAAACCTTCATTTGAACCCAGAAGATAAAAATGTGATTTTCTTGATAGCGTTTGGGAGACCACACATTCAGGAAATGGAGTTGACTTTTTCTTCTGTGCTTTGCCTGGTTCAGTTCTGAGGAGTCCAGCAGAAGGCCTCCTGGAGGCTGGCTGCTGGGTTGAACACTCCATCTCCTACTTCACCTTTCCACACATGCAACTCATCAGCTCATCAATCTCATTTTTCCAGCAGCATAAAAGGAGCAGAAAGCCAGTCACTCATCGCCTGAGTGTTAACCATCACTGGTAACGTTAAGTCTCCTGAGCCCATTTCTGTGCATCTTGTTGAGCCAAACACAAATTAAAACCTGAGCCTCTCCATTTCCTACATTCACTCCAGTAATTTTTGTTTCTTTATACTTAACCTTCTGCATTCCAGTTCACTATGTTAATGTTCCCCAATGAACTTATGTCCTTTGTTCAAAGAACCTCCTCTGATATCTGGCCTACATTCCCAGGACTGGTCTCTGCTCCTCTGGTTACACTATAAAACTGTGCCATTGACTGTATGCTAATTACCCTCAAGAATATTTGCCTCCTATAGACCAAAAAAAAAAAAACCTTGCAACATTCCTTGCAATACAACTCACCTTCTCCCTGGCAGACCTTAAAACCTCATCCAAGTAAGATCCATTCATCCCCCCCTTCCTGTTACCTGGATTTCCCCACTCAGCAGATTCTCTCCTCCTTTTCTGTTCTGATTGCCATTGGACCAGATTCACTTTTGCAAATTCTTAAATTGTACTCAATAAGTTTTATCTATCTGATTCCTGCCTATACCAAACCATGACAAGCACAACTTTTCTATGTTTAAAAGATAGCCGTTTAGCATCACCAAGATGTCTAATTTATGTTGAGGAGACAGTAAAAACCTTTTTGCAGCAAATCTAATTTTTGCTTCTTTTTAATTTTTATTTACCATCTTCTTTAATGTTATATAAACTTGGGTTTATCAGTCATTATTTTTTACAGTTATTTTTTTAACCTTTTACTTGTTGCTTTGCCAAATGGATACAGTATGTAAAATTTTTAGGCAATACATTTCCTATGATTATTTCTTGACTAAGTCTCGCAAAATCAGAATTTCTTAAATTGAATATTTGTCCATCTTTCATTTTAAATGGCAAATAGAAATGGGCCTCTATCTCACATTATATCTACACACCAATATATCATTAACTAAAAGCTTTAAGACTCTCAGAACCAACTTATACAAATTAAATAATGAATTTTAAAATACCAGCAACATTCATTTGATAGTATCCATTTCTTCCTAATTTGGCACTTTTCCTATTAAATAAATATACTTAAATTATTACTTTTTTTTATTATATAATATGACCTTCAGAACAAATGGCTCTTCTAAAATGTTTACTTTTGCAGGGAGCAAATTACTTTATATTGTAAAATGGAAAATTATTGTGAAAAATATGAGATAGGTTCCAATGTTTCATAAAGTTTGTACTAATGACTGTAAATTGATCTCATACTTATATATTTTGCATAACGCCACAAGAGGGCAAAGTTTTACAGCTCTAGAGTTTTATAATCCATCTTGGTTTTGTTGGCTAATGTATAAAAACCATGCAGATGCTGTCTTGTGATAAAAGGTTGATATATACCTTAAGAAAATGTAGACTTCCGCATCTTATTGTATATAATAAAGTTTGAAGGTGGTTCGCTGAAACAATAGGGAGGGACACGAAGCTGGATGAGATCAGGGGGGTGGAGTCTGTTGGAGAGGATGACCCCATATCTAGACAGGAACACAGGTCACTAAGCACATGTTCCCACACAACCCAGCCCACCCACACCAGAACACACACATTAAATAAAACAGAGGCCCACAGTTTTGTAGTTGTGTAGGGTGTTTGTGTGCCAGATGATTGTGACACATGTCTGCTGTCATGGCTTCCTTACATACATCAGGGTTCACACAGTACAGAAATTGCGGCATGATATACTGCTTACTGAAGCTATCATGAAACACTACCTGTGAGGGGAATGTGGCCATATGTGGTGGTTTGTCAAACACAGACAAAGTTGACAGAAAACTTTCTACAGAATGATGCAGCAATCCTATGAGGATGTTCTTAAAAGCATGACTTGGACCCAGAATGTCTCTTACTGTACTGTACATAAACGTTACACCTTTCCTCATCATTTAATTTGCAGCACAATAAGTAAACAACTAGAAACTGTAAAATACAAAAATGTAGATTTAATAGTTTACAAGACAAAAAAGCATACAGACATCTGTGCAGTACATGGTATGAGAACAGAATGAATGTAGACTTTCAGACCAAAAGTACATCCCTTTGATCAACAACAAAGATAAAATAAAGCTTCGAAATATCTATTTATTTCTAAATCTGAAAGCACTTAATGTGGCTTTACTGTCATGCACAAGTAATCCCATACTCACGCTTTCATGTTGCAAGCAAAGAAACTTAACTTTATCTTTTTGTCATCGCTCAGTGTATAGAACTTATCTGCACAAACAATGAAAGAGTTTTGTCTGAGTCTGGATAAATATTAAGTTTTTTTCTCTATGATTCTAATACGAAGGCAAAGTTCTTATTGTTGAAAGAAAACTATAAACTGGAGATTTATCTTAGCTGTCACTCCTTTTAACTTTTAACCTACTACCCCTAATCTCCGTCCAATTGATCTATACAACAGTTATCAGTTTCAGGTTCTCCCAACACACTTTTACATCAAGCATAGATCAAACTAGGGGGATAACAGAGTTCAGTTTTAACAGCTCAAAATTATTCTTTATAATTTAACAAAAAGAAAAAATCTTTACAGGTAATGCTAAGGAAAGTCATTAAAACTATAATTTATTACTTTATTTATAACTTTATTTTTAAACTGGCAAGCTCTGAAGCTTTTGTCATCATCAGTAACACTGAATATATTGTTTCTGCTATATATTAAGTTTGTTTTCCAGAAGGAATTGCTGGTTTTGGTTGATGCAGTATTCTTGCTGCGTCCCATTTGTTTCGGAGGCTGGATCTGGGGGATGACAGCACATTATAGAAGAGTTGCAAAACCCCTGCCATTTCGCTAAATGTTCTACAATTAACCAGTTGCAGTAATATGAGGTGATAATGGTATATTTCCTCCAATTTTTTTCACATTTAAACTTTAATGGAGCATAACCTGACATATAATTGACATGACATATTATTAATGACTTAATTTACCTTTGGGATTAATAAAGTATTTTTGAATTAAAATTGTATTTAATCTTCTTGTTTATAAATACATATTTTTTCACTGTATATATGCAACTATGTAAAATGAACTGGAAGCTACACAGAGATTCTGACATACTGCAGCTTTTTTGTTGCATTTCTGTGCTGGAACTCCAATAATCCAGTTTTTTTAGAACTAATAGAAAACAACTTGGCCACTAATTTGATTTTTTAAAGAAGCATAATTTTGAAATAATTTTTTTAGGTTTGGGGAAGCTAAAAAGCGGTTCTTTAGAGAAAGTGGGAGCAGTCAGTGTTTTAAAAAGGTAGAGATAAAAAAGTTTCTTTAGTGTAAAGAACGTTCAGAATTTCTTGCTAAACCTCAGGCTAAGTGGAACCAGTATAGAAAAATATATCTCTTTAATCTTAAAACTGCTAGTATCACAAAAAATATAAGAAGACCAGTTATGTCTTTTTCTAATATGTGTTTCTTTGCAAATGCTGTTTTTCGAAAATACAGAGCAGTACTGTTTTAAATGTAAATACTGATAGATTTTTCAGTTAAAATAAAATCTAAATACTTCTAATGAGATGTTGTACATTTTAAAGACAGGATTTGTTTCAAGATTAAAAAAAAATCAATTTTTTTTTTATGGTCCAAATACTTGTTTCTTATAGAGGAGCTCTGATCATTGTTCACCACAGGTAAGGCACACACAGCTGATAACAACTCATCACACATTGAAAAGTTTAAACCTTCCTTATTAAGTCTAAATACAGTAAATGACAACTTGTTACTCCACAGTACAATGATCATTTCATTAGCGCAGAAGTTTATAACTTGCCAGACATAGTTTGAACTCCATTAAGTTCAGAGAAACTGAGATGATTGTGGGATTGTTTGAGAGAAGAAGACCTAGCAGCAATCTTGGCAAGATAACGTAGTTTTCAGAATGGAAAAAAGAGATTATAAAAGGTATTGTATATTTAGTGTGCAATCAGGAGTTGCCATCTCCATTTTTGGTCTTGAGCACCACCAGGCTGACCATAACAGGTATCAGGCAGATGGGAGTAATCACCAGGGCGAACATTACGGCAGGTGGTGGGTCACTGAACTCCTCTGTGGGGCAGTCTTTGAAAAACTTTGAATGGATTTTGACGAAAAACCTTTCGACCAGTGAATTTGGCCATGGGATTAGGAGACACTCAGCCATGGACTCACTGCAATGGCTGAAGTTGCTGTAAAAGCTGAAACAAGGATGGATTGGAAAAGACATGATATCAGCAAAGAAATTGCAACATCTTGAATGAAAAAATTAGTGACTTGGAAGTAAGATTACCTGCTCACTTTATTCCAAACGCACCAGTCAGTAGTGTTTAGTGAGCTCATCTCATTTTTGAACATTATCAAACAATGCTCATATAAAAGAGAAAGACAATCCATTGTTGGGTTTCCAAAATTATCCTGACAGAAGCTGCAATATACGTCGCATTCATAGTACTTTGTTGCACAATCTGCACCATTTGGAATTAAATACAGAAAAGGGGAAAAAATATTTAAAGAGAATACAAGAAGTGAGTAATATAATGACTTATTTACCTGAAATATTGCATTTCTAAATTATAATTTCACATTTGCATTGTAAAAATTATATCACCTACCGAATGATAGTTGGCCCCCCTCAGAGACCTCTAGATAAGAGATTAAAAAAAAGCATTAATGATTAAATAATTTACTTTCACCATCCTTTATGCAGAGAGGATAAACTGCCATTCACTCTTTGTGACTCTTATCAGTTTTAGCACAGAAATTCTTCTAAAGCTACTTTTAGTCAGACAATTGCAGCTGTGGAAGGGAGACCAGACCACACACTCACCAGAGAAAAAGGACAGGAATATCCCAATGAAACCAACAGATCCCTTCATGTCAGAAAAAAATGAATAAAGGTGCCTTTTTCCCAAATGATGAAGCTCTCAAACTGTGTACAGCGAGGCATAACAGGAAACGCAACAGGGTTATCTTCGGTTACCAGATGTCCAAACAATGTTACCCGCGGTTAGCAGATGTTCTTCGAAGATCTGTCTGATGGCCCTGTGCCTTGGCAGCAGCTCTTCCCCTCTCCAACACACGGTTTCTTGTTGTTTTTTTTGTTTTTTTTAGGTTTTTCTTCCTTTTTTTTAAAGGGGTGGAGGCAGAAAAGATTGTCCTCTCTATTCTCACAAATAAAAGGAGCACACCCAAGCTGGGGCTGGACTCACATCTGAAAACCCTTTACTCTTTAACTCTTGTTCTGCTTTTTAGTCTCAGTTTCTCACAGTCGAAAAAGGCCTGGCCAGCGCACAGCATGTGATTTATTTGCCTTTTGGGCTGCCTCTGCCAAATAGGAAACATAAGTAAACATTTAGGACTCAGCGTTTTGGAGTGGATTTAATCATGACTCTGCAGGGTGTGCTGTGCAGACAGCCTTGATTTCATATTTAGGTTAATGTGACATAAGGTGTTATTCAGAAATTACCACATGTCTAAAAAGGCCTTTAAATGAAACTGGTGTTTTTTTGTTACGTTTTTTTATCGCAATAAAAGCATCAGCTGAATAGAGATGACAACTCACACACACACACACACACACACACACACAGCTTTCTTTTCATGACATATGGGAACATTTCATTGACTTGCATTCATTTTATATGGCCTAACCCAGACCCTTACCCTAACCCTAACTGTTACCAAGATGTACCTAATCCTAACCTAAACTGAATTCACACATTAGTCCTAAACCTAACCCCAACTCAAAGAACAGAAATTTACCATATAGGCACCAGTTGAATGTCCCTATATGTAAAAATACATATGTAAAATATTTCCCTCACATTGTAGGTAAAACAAGACCACACACACACACAGGTAGGTGGTCCTTAATTTAACAAAAGAACTATGTTTTTTCCCGCCTTACATTTATGTTACAAAATCTACGTGTTCAACCTCATGCAACATCTGCTGGCTGAGCTGCATTTTGATTTACTAATGACATCAGGAAATGTGTCTGTTCAGCTGAGGAGGAGCCCGCAGTCGGGAGTGTTGGCAGGAGAAAGGGGTGGAGGGACAGTTGGGGAAAGAAAAAAAACAGTAAGGCACAGGATGAGGAACAGTGAAAGGGGCTCTGCTCCAAGTTCCAGTTGTTTCACAATTTCGAGTTCATGCGTTGATCTCTGACGTTGCATGGGGTGAATGACGAACAAAGTCAGGAAGTCGATCCAGTTGGGGGTGGGGGGGGAGTTGGCGAGGGGGGGTGTAATGAGGTTTCATTTAACCCCTAACCCTGAAGCCTTTATGGGCCTCACGTCTACTGCTGGTGACCCCTCTGTTGGAGACCTCCTCAGGAGTTTATCTTGGATCCTTTTGACAAAACACACCAGGAGATGTCCCTACAGAAAACAAAGTCTGGGAGATCTGTTTTCTGGGTTCTGTTTGTTCCAGGCCAAACTAATAATTTCTAAGAATGAATCCAAAGCAAGTCCCCACAAAAAACATTTCCACACTCACCGTCTGAAACTATATAACATATTACATCTATTTCATGTTGTTGCATTCCAGCTCATTTCTTTAAAATCTTTATATTTCATATTTAAGAATGTTAAAGATAGAGTGCTTCAATGAAAGGGAAAAAGATTTTTTGCATATTTTTTTCATTTCATTATATTCTTCAGGTAATAGGTAAGAATAAGTACAGGTGGGTAATAAATAGTTACATTTACATTTTACTTTTACTTGAGTTTATATATTAAGTATTATTTCTCTTACTTGAGTAAACTTCTGGCGACTCCATCCATTGTGAGTAACTTCACTTTGCCAAAACAAGCAAATGCAACATTTAGAGGCACATTTTCTTATTTTTGTGTGCTTATTGGATAAATGTTATTTTCCATCTGTTGTGTCTGCCATTTTTTTTTTACAGGTTGAGTGAAACTTTTGATTTTTGTACATTCTATAACTCATAAAATAATAAATCAGTTACTATGTTCATGGCTATTAAGTAGATCAGTTCTCAGTACTTGAGTTGCCTTTTTACCAAATACATTTTTACTCTTATTTGAGTAAAACTATGATTAGGTAGCATAGTTTTACTTAAGTAAAGAAAATGGACAAAAACAAAGGTTTTACCCTTTTAACATGTCTTCTGTTTGTCAAAAATTAAATATTTTCAAATGGTCAAACTAGATTAAATACTTAACATTACATAACATAAAAAACATAATAAAAAAATATGAGAAAAAAACAAAGGAAAAGTAGAAAATTGCTGATTTAATTTTTATAACCCCGGCTTGATTCCTGTCGGGCCTAAAGAAGCCTCTATAGAAGTCTCTGAAAGTGAAATAGGCTAAATGGTCTCAAAAGTTAACATATTATGCACCAGGCTAAAGAAATGAAAGAAGAGACATTGCAAGAAGACACTGCTTCAATTTACATTTGGTTAAGAAGTAAGATAGACTTTTTTGTAAACATCTTACAGACAGTTAAACAAAATGGTGATAGTGAGATTATCTGGGGCTCTGGTTCCTATACGGCAGAAAATCCTAAAGTTTATAACCATCTTAAATATATATATATATCAAATTCTTTTCCAACACATTTAAATTCATTAGGGCTATACAGATACACAGCAAACAGCTAAAAGAAAAGTAACTCTTACCTCTATCCATTCTTTGCGTTGCATTATAACCTGTTAAAAGAGATTTGTTGAGTAAAAAAATGTAATGCTATTCATTTGGGAGGCTTTTTTTGCAAATCTATACCTGTGGTTGTTGCTGTCGTAACTGGTTGTGCGGTTACATTGTCATTAACCAGACAAATCCCTGTAGTACATCCTGCATCAAGGAAATGCAAAATTCAGCACAGCAAAGCAATGTAGTCATCTTAAAATTGAAACTCTAACTGTTGAATTAAAGAGTTGCTGAATCAATTTTTCATCAACATATTGTTTAGACCTTTTTCCAACATGTGAGAAAATGCTGTGGACGAAGGAAATAGCAAGGTTCAAGCAGTGGGGAGCCAGTGCATCCTCCTTTTGTCTCCCACTTCTTTAAGGAAGTCCTAATACAGTCATCTCAAGGACATTTAGACATATTTAGCATAAACCTTACTAAACTAAGAAATAAATACTGATGGTTTATTCACTTAACATTTCTTTAGCTTCTTTCTAAATGCGTCAGCAACTGAATTTTTTAAGTGTCCCTGATCAAAAATTAATCTTAGAACAAAAAAAGGACAGCTGCACAGTAATAAAGATATGGATGATTAAAAAATGTCACCTACCCCAAACAAGAAGAGTCACTAAACAGACAGAAAACACAAGAGAAAACCTGGTGACGGTCATACTGCTGAAGAATGCTCTGTTCATCCTCAGTGGTGGGTAGGGATTACATATCTCAACCTTTAAAACAGGAAAGCTAAAAAAAAAAAAAGAGAAACAACAGGAAGTATGGGTGGTTTCACCGCTTGGGGCGAAAAGTTTCTGGTAATGTTACAGCTGTTATTCTCCACACAATCATCACTTTTTCTCTTTTGATTTTGATTCAGGAATTTTGAAAGTGTGAAGTTTCCATCCATATTTTTTCTCTCCTTTTTAGTCTGTTTTTCTCTGTTCCCCTGATAACATTGGAAAAGATAATATTTTAAGTTTAATTATGTCTGGGATTTACAAAAATAAAAACGGTTGTGCTATATTTATTGTAATCCCAGGTAAAAAAACAAAACAAAAAAAACATCCAAAATAAGACTTTTAAAGCTAAATACAGGGACTAGATGCCTGGAGATGGATGAAGTCCTGTCAATCTCAAGGTTTAAAGTGGTTTAGTTGGTTGACAAAAACAAGTAAAGGAGAATGAAACAGTTGGAAAACAAAAAGGGGTCAGAAAGCAAGAATGTGAAATCAGACTATCAAACAGGAACAGGACGAAAGAAATGAACGGGGAGAAAAGTAAATGAGGGGAAAGGACTAAATGTACATTTCCTTTATAAGCAAGATGAGAAGAGGAACTTAACTTTGAATTTGTTCTAATAACAGTGTTTTTTTTTAAGTGTAACATTGACACATTATGTTGAATCACAGTTTATTTCCCTATCATAAATGTATCAGTATCAAGATTATTATACCTACTCTTCAGAAATTAAGAGGAAGACATGTTGGAACTGCACAAACTAAGGTCCACATTCAGTTTCTAGACAATTTCTCCATCTGGTTGCAGGACAAACTGGTCAGAGTCACCTGTGCATGGCAGCTTTGGTTCTGTCAGTGTGCCCCAGGGTAACTGACTGAATGACTGAATGTACATTACAGTAGCCTGGCAAACTAGACTGTATTGCACAAAGCATAATTCATTGTGGTAAACCACTGTTGATGGCGGTCAGATCTGGCCGGACCGATCACAGCGCAGGAGGCAGAATACTAGAATGCAAGACCTATAATGCAGCAGCACTTTTATGCTAACATAATAACAAGCTGGTGACCAAAACAGAGCTTTGGATCCTCAGAGTTTTTCGCAAAACAGTCAGAAATTGTTCACTGGAGAGTACCTCAAAAGTTTAACGTTTCTCACCGACTACAAAATTACAAAAACAGAACATGTTTGGAGTTTTTGCAGCACATCTGTAGTTATCTGATTGGTTCTAACCAGATCTGTTTGTTAGTCCCGCCTTTGAAATCGAGCTCTACCAGCTCTTTACCAGACTAATACACTGTGGAAAGGTCGTATCAGTCTGGCTGGCTGGGCCAAGTGTAAAATAATTTGGAGTTCCTTGACTTAAAAAGGCACTTTATAAGTACAGGCCAATTACTTGTTTATATTGTATTTAGGGCTTTAACATATCTAATAAATAAAATACATCACTAAGGGTGTGCTTTGGTAGCGCAGTGGTTAGACCGCACAACCCATGTATGTAGGCCTTGGGCCTCAAGGAGGGCGAACCAGGTTTGAATCCGGCCCGTGGTTATTTCCTGCACGTCCCCCCCCTCTCTCATAACACATTTCCTGTCAGCCTACTGTCCATAAAAACGAGCCACTAGTGCCATAAAAAAAAAATACATCACTGATATCTTACTTATTGATTCAACAAAGTGACTCATTTCAAAATTTGAGCTGCTCAATGGTGAAGTGGATAGCACTGTTGCCTTGCAGTAAGAAGGTTCTGGGTTTGATTCTCAGCCCTGGGTCTTTCTGCATGGAGTTAATGTTCTCCTTGAGCGTGCGTGGATTATCTTTCCAGATACTCTGGCTTCCTCCCACAGTCCAAAAACATGACTATTAGGTTGATTGGCTTCTCTAAATTATCTTTAGGTGTGAGTGAATGGTTGAAATGCAATCTATCCAGGGTGTACCCAAAGACAGCTGGAGATAGGCACCAGCACCCCTCAGAAAATGGATGGAAGTCATTTATTCTGGGTGATGTAATCTAAAACTATCCCTTCAGACTGTTCATTAATAAAGTTTGGAACAATATGTGCTTTCAAAACATAAGTTAAGATGATTTTTATCATATTTGTCTTTAAGTGTGGGAAAAATGTACGTGAGACATATTGATAAGTGAGCATGGGGCCAACCTTATGGTTTACACATACCGTCCAAATTTCATGCTTTGCTCCGGACTGAAAGCAGAATTTATAAATTCAGAAAAATGGAGATCCCCCTCAATCTCTCATTTGGCAGCGCATTTGATTACATTTCGTGTTTTTTTGCTGTAGTTTTGTAGGACATGACTTGCGTAAGGAATGTGCTTTCTCCAACTGTGCTGTGGCGTGTCATCAATGTCGATGACAAACAGCCTCCTTGTTTCCATCATCTTTAATGTCACATTAAACTTCTGTGGTAGAGGAGAGGTAGCGGGGAGACTCAGTCTGAAACTGAAGTGTCTCTGTATCATTGAGGGATAAGTGTTCTTTCTCAGCTGCTGGGCTTGGAATAAAGCCATATATAACTCATGCCAAAATTGCTCCCACATTTTATTTTACTTAACATTGAGAACTCAGTTTCATGTAGGCAGAAAGTTCAAATTTAAGAAAGAAAAGTGGTATTAAAGGCAACCATGAATTTTAACCATGATAAAATAACATTAAATTGATTTTAGGAACATATTGTTTTTGCTTTTAGAATTATCTTTTCATTTTTTTAACCTTTTGTCTCAGACTATTTAACCTTTAATATATAAGTCAGGCTCGTGCCAACATCAACATACTGAGTCTACGTGATACAGAAAGGAAAACATCTATCTTATTACAGTCTTTATTGCCAAACTCCTGAGAGTGTTTGCTTTTGTTTGAGCATTTCAGTATCAATCGTGGAGTGTCTGCGTCAAACACCACCAAACATCCCATGCATTCTGGAAAAGTTTTCTCTACTCCAAATCTTTCTCAGCATGCATGATTAAATGTTCAGGATGGCAAACATAAACAGAGGGCAAAGAGAAGCAACAAGTCCAATGGGTGGGGCAAGGTGTGTTTTGGGGAATGATTTAGTTGTTCTTAACTTGATGAAGTAAGTTTTTTCTGTGATTTTGAAAGAACTAATGGTATAGTGCCCCCTTGTGTGTTAAATTAGAGTTTTTCTATTTTATTTTTTTGTGAATTCAAAATAATGTAGGCCTACATTATGCCTTGTACAGGCATGTCTAGAGGACATATTAAAACTGAAAGATTTTTGAATTTTCTTCTTTAGAATTCAGAGTTGGCAGAAGTATTTGAAATAGAAGCTGATTAGTCACTTCATCTGGGTGTCATTAAATTGACCTGAAAGAGATATTTCTTGATTGGCTTCCTATTTAATCCAGAATAGATTTTTAAAATCCTCCCTCTCACATCAATCTCCATCTTATTTCACAGATGTGATTGTCCTGTTTGTTTCTAACATAACTCCTCATTGTTACTCTGCAAGTTTAGTGGGGGTTCCTAGAAATGTTTAAAGTATGAAGGAAGGAGGTTCTTCTAGCTCCTCTCCTGTGGAACCAACTACCAGTTTTAGTCTTTGAGGCAGACACCCTGTCTAATTTTGAGGCTAGGCTTAAAACTTTCCTTTTTGATAAAGTTTATGGTTAATTCAATTCAATTCAGTTTATTTATATAGCACCAATTCACAACATATGTCATCTTAAGGCACTTTAAGTTCACCAGATCATACAGTCAAATTGATTCAGAGTTTTCTAAGGAATCGACTCATTGACTCGAACGCAATCCTTCTGGTTAGTGTGGCCCAGGTTATCCTGAGCTATCTATAGTTATGCTGCTATAGGCTTAGACTGCTGAAGGACGTAGGGACCATTTTTTTAATCATTCTACTTCATTCTCTATTCTCACTTCTTTTCTCACTTTCATTTTTATCTGGCTTCCTTGTGTTGGGCTGTGAGATCATACATGGGTCAAAACCTCAGCTGGGTTGCTACCATCAACACCTTCCATTAACGATAATAATTATTAAATTAATAACTATGCTGCTATGGGATTAGGCTGCTGGAGGACATGAGGACTGATTTTCATCTGTTTATTATATGCTATTCTACTGCATTATGTTTAATCTGCTATTTTCCCTTTCTACAGTATGTCTATGTTTGACCCCTGACTTGGGGAGTTGGAGGGGAGTGTTGGCCTAGTGGGTTAGAGAAGTGCGCTTGTGCTCTGAGAAGGTTGCAAGTACCCGATTTTATCCCCATAGCCTCCACTCTGGGTTCCTGAGGAAAGTCCTTAACCCCTGATTGCTCCCCAGGCACCACACAATGTCAGCCCACTGCTCCCCAGGGGGAATCTGTCAAATTTTCCCCATTGTGGGACAATAAAGGGAAGGGATTTTTTTTTTTTTTTTTTTCACATTTAGCTTAAACTAAATGTGCAAAGAACCAATCCCCTGTCCCAAGCAAACATTCAGCAAAGTACTATGTGTCATGTTTGGGATGTGATTCTAGCCCAAATGCAGAACACACTCTGAGACAGGGGAAAAAGTTCAAAGGTTTATTGAAACACACAGGTTTGAACACAGAACTGATTCTGGGGAAATTCTGGTCCAGGACTGGTCACGACTGATTTTCACTGCAGAGGGGGACAGAATGGTTAGCAGAAGTCCAGGTAATCTTGCTGGTTGAGTGAGCGCAGGTTTGTACCTGTTCAGAGGTTTGAGCAGAGCGGCAGAGGGGGAAACCTGGAGGGTCAAGAGGTAGTGATGGGCTATCTGAAGCCAGGCTTCGAGGCTTGTACCGAGTAATAAGGGGGCGTGTCAATGAAGCCCCGCTTCGAGGCCTGTGTTGTCTTGTTGAAAACCACGTGACTGGCAACAAACGAGGCCTCGCATTGCATTGGTCACGTGACTGCTTCATTTTGCGTGTCGGTTTTCAAAATAAAAGCGCGATGAATCCTGTTGCTTTGTGGGTTGTAGTAGGTGGTTTGGTCTCAGCAGAACAGTT